GGGACCCGCCACCCCCTCCGCCAGCAGCATGTTGTCCAGTCGCATCAGCTGGGGGTCTGTGGGCTCCTCTTCCTGGGCGCCCCGGATGCTCAGAACTGCAGGGAGACAGAGAGGGGCGTTAGTGGGCACCACATGGGGAAAACCAGAACTGAAAGCACTCACAGTGCCTGGGGGCGGTGGAGGGCGGGGCTGCAGGTGCCTGCAGTGTGGTGCCCGGGCGGTGAAGGGCGGGCCTGCAGGTGCCTGCAGTGTGGTGCCTGGGCAGGCAAAGGGTGGGGAGAGGGTGCACTAAGGGAGGGAGTGATCTAGTTGGTCAGCAGGGCAGCGGGTGGTTCCTTCACCCCTGGCACACCCTGCACCCGACACACAGCTCAGCGCACCCAGTGAGGGTGCCAGCAGCCAGGTCTTTGTCCAGAGGGAACCTGGGAAGAATGTCCAATGAAGAAACATGGGAAAGCATTGGGAGGGGCAGGAGAGGAGGGGAGTGACTGAGGCCCGGGAGCAGCAGTCCCGTTTGTCCACACGCTGGGGATGGGCTGGCAGGGTCCTGTGACCCATGGAGACGTGCCACTGGACCAGCGGGGCAAGAGCTGGTCCAGGGAGGGGTGCACCTGGTGAGCCTGGGGGTGTGCCAGGGAAGGGCTGTGAGTGTCTAACAGGCAATGAGAACCAAGCAGAAGAGTGGTTCACCAGGAAACCCACTCCTGCATCACATCCCTGAGGCCGCGCCCGTGCAATGGGCCGCGCGGACCCACCGTGGCCCTCAGAGCGCAGGGTAGAAGGCGTGACAGAGAAACAGCAGTCAGTTGCCTCCCAGACACGCCCCAACCAGGGATCGAACCCGAAACCTAGGAATATGCCCCGACCGGGAATGGAACCTCCCAGGGCATGGGACGGCGCTCCAACCACTGAGCTGGCGGCTAGGCCTCGCTTCCTCTTTTAAACAACCAACAGGAAGCATAGCGACGCACAGGCCCACATGCCGACCTAGTTACTATTTTTCTTGGTCTGGACAATGGCCTGGTTTTCAATAAAACAAGGAAGGAAATGTCTATGGCTAGAAGGGACCCCGGGAGGCAGCCGTGCCCGCTGCGGAGGGTCAGACGGACAAAGGTGGACGCCCGCAAACATGAAAGACCATTGAGTTGAGGGAGAATTAAAAAATCACAGTAGAAGTGTGAGCGTTTCACTTAGATTCTGTCCTTTTCTGAGTCCTATGGAAATACTTTCCAAAAGAAATGAGGATCCACTGAAATATAATACGATTGGTTTCTAAATGTGGACAATAAGAAGTTGGTATGATAAAAATACGAGGCACCATAAATGCTGGGGGCTCCGATAAAAAACTTCAGAGAAAAAAATTGTACCTATGGGAACAGCAAGCATAAGAGAAAGCCTTCACCTCCACTCTGTTCCGGGGCAGGTTCTGCCTCCGACAGCCCGGGGCTGCCACGGGGGCGTGAGGGAGCCACGTGCCCAGCTCACACCCTGCATGCACATCTGGGCCCACCACACACGGGTGTGGGACTGATAGGCAAACCAGTCAGTTAAACAAATCCCGCCAACGTGAAATAAATGAGAAGGCGATGGCCTAAGCAGAGCCGAAGCTCCGACGCTGGCGAGCAGGAGACGGAATGATTATTTAAAAGGTCCCCTTTATCTCCGGGCGCCTGCAGGACTCAAATGAGCCCTCCAGATCCAATTCCACGGCGGAGCCGTTACCTAATCCGCAGCCATCACATGCGATCAGGTTCCGGCCCTGACGGCGCCGCCGCCCTGCCCTCCCGCGCTCCTAGCCCAGCAGCTGCCACCGAAGCCGGCCTTAAAGGGCCATGCCCCTTGCTGCCCGTGCATGAGGGGGTTTAATAGGCCGCGGCTCAGAATTCTTGGCCGTATTTCTTAAAGGAAGAGTTCCTTCTCACAAATCTACCCCCTCATGTCAGAGGCCAGTCCCGGCAGGTAAGTGATTTCTATAGAAATTGTCACACCCCTTTACATGCATCTGAGGTCACACCCACCCTCTCCCGCACTGGCCCTGGGTTAATCCTTTACTGAAACCCCCGAGATAAGAGGACCCCCCTGTTCTTACTCCGCTTTTCCTCTCCAGGTAAACACGCCAACGCCAGGCTCAGCCCTGGAGCGGGTTGTCTGGCCTGAGCCATGACCGGCGGACCAGCTCCCAGCAGGGCCCACTAGAGGGCACTGTCTCTTCACCGAGGACAGGTGGGCTGGGAGGCCCCAGGTTAGCTGCCCAGGCTGGATTCACACCCACAGGTGGGGAGGAGGCCGGAGCTCAGAGAACATTGTCCTTGGATGTGAACAGCAGTGCAGGGACCACACCTGGGCTGAGAGACAGACCGACAGCAGACAGGTGTTCGGGAGCAGGTGTGAGGCGACCACCCCCGGTGGGTGCCCTCCCGCTCTCTGGCCACTCTCCCTGCCTGATGTGAAGGCACAGGGCATCCCTCCACGCAGGGAGTCCCACTGTCCACAGGCCGGGCTTCACGACTCCCGGGGGGAGGAGCGGGAGGCAGGGGTCTCCGCCTCGCCCCAGGCGGCTCTGCCACCCCGTCTGCCAGAACTCGGACAGGAGTCGGATGGAGATAGGATGCCCTTGCGTTTTCACAGAAAGAGCCACGTGCTGGTCTCCTGAAATACCAGTTACGCCTTTTATTTGTTCACGAACGCTCGCACCCGCGGAGTGGAATCACCTCATAAAAGGTGAAGTGAACTCCAAAGTCACGGAGCAGAGAACGGAAGACAAGGGCCAAGCAAAGGGCAGGGCCACCCGGAACCTGGGTCCTGGACTCCAGCCTGGACTCGGGAAGCATGAGGCTGGCCTCTCCCACAAAGGATCCGCGTGTGAATGCACATGCACACACACACACACACACTCACACACACACTCACACACACACTCACACACACACTCACACACACACTCACACACACACTCACACACACACTCACACACACACTCACACACACACTCACACACACACTCACACACACACTCACACACACACTCACACACACACTCACACACACACTCACACACACACTCACACACACACTCACACACACACTCACACACACACTCACACACACACTCACACACACACTCACACACACACTCACACACACACTCACACACACACTCACACACCCACACACACACGCTCGCACACACACACACACACACTCACACACACACTGTCCTTAATGCCCAGGTCCTGACTGGGATGAGGCAGGAAAGGAGGAAGTCCTCGCCGACGTCTGAATTTCTTTAAATTCCTGCAAATGCAAGGGCGCCCGTGAGGAACGCTCGGCTCACGGACCCATCACTGACCAGCACCAGCGGGTGCAGGAGTGTGTGGGTGCTGGGATTTCCACCAGGACTCAACATGGGCTTCAAGACACCCCCGGGTTCCAACCCCCCAGGACCCTCACACCTCAACCAGCTGCCCTGTGGACGCGGCGGCTGCCGGAGGAGGTGTGGAGACGGCACCCCACCATCCCCGGGCGACCCTGGTCTCCTCCATCGTTTCACTTCCCAGGCGCAGTGACATCACAACTCGAGGCTCCTCCCTCCACTGGGAGTGACAGTAACACCATTCGATGCTTCTGAACCAAAGGTGGGATAAAGCCTGTCCTCCTGTTCCTCACCCCGGCCTCTGCCCAGGTGGCTGATGGGAAACTCCTTTGTGTGGGCTTCAGTTTCTCCGTCCATCCATCCAGTGGAAACGAGTCACAACGTCAGCTCCTGCGGCTGACATGCCGGCTCGAGAGAAGGTGCCTCAGACCGACCCAGGCCCCACCCCCTGCCGTCGGCCCGGGGAGCTTGTGGATGAGAAGGCCAGTCCCTGGGACCTTCCAACCTGGAGGAGCACCCTGTGCTGTCTGTCTCTCCGCCTTCCAAGCTCAGGGGCGGTGGGACCCACAGGCCTGGGGCCGCAGAGGCAGCCAGGGGTCAGATTCACAGACAGGCGTCCTGCAGCCCCCTCTACTCCCCTTCTCCTTCTCTGGGCTCAGCAGGTAGAAGGCCAGCGCCCGAGGGCTTCACAGCACATCAGGATCTGGGAGGCCTGGCCTCGTGCGCAGGACGGGGCGCGTGTCCTCTGCCTCGGTGGCTCGGGCCAGGCCTGCTGCTCGGGCCTCTAGAGGCCTGAGAGGAGCTTCGGAGGACGGTGGGAGGTGGGACTTCACCCACGTGGGTCAGCCCACCAGGCCCAGAGGTGGAGGGACGAGGAAGCCCTGGGGAGGCCTAGACCACCCGCGAGGGAGCCACGGCGGGAAACGGCTTCCTGCCAAGTTGTACATACGAAGCGTGAGAAGTGCGTCCCCCGTTAGTGTGCCCTGTGTCCCCTGGACACGGGACCGCCTCGACGATGGCAGTTTCTAAAGGACGTGGCCGGGGAGGAAGCAGGAGAAGCCTCCATATTCGTTTGCCTCTAGATGAACCTACCGGGTGGCTGAGAGGACCTGGCACCAGCACACTGCCCGCTGCCCCGGGGGGGCAAATCCACGGCAGACTTCCTCTAGTGCCCCCAGAACCACAGCAGCGCGTGGGACAGAGCCGGGCCCAGATGCCCTCCGCGTGACCTTGCCCCTTCCTCTCGGTTCCCTTACCACTCAGTGTCGACAACACCAACCACACTGTAGCTCTCTGAAGGATGCAATCGCGCTTTCTTTATAAAAGCACATGTCAGTGCTGGTAACGGAGCTTCGCAGTTGTTGGTTGGATCTCAATCAGCCCCCTGAGGAAGGGCCTCGGGAGCACAGAGCGCGGAGCGAGGCAGGGCTAAGGCTTTGTCTCTGTGTGCGGGGTCTGTGCCCCCCCACCACCACCACAGACGGGGACCCAAGGTCAGTGGGGGGGCTGGGGAGGCAGTGTCCTCTCCTGGGTCGCCTCTTTCTCCTCCTTCGGGCCATTCCTGCTCCTCCTCCCAGAGCTCAAGAGCAGTTGTGCGGCCTCCGCCCGCCGCCCTCCACCCTCCGCCCTCCGGACGCCTCCTGCTGAGCAGAGCCCCGGCCGGCCTTCCCGGGCCAGGGAGTGTCCAGGTGGCCGACCTGGCACAGTTCCCCCGGAAGACGC